ACATGTGTGTCCTATTTATTTCACTTAAGAGTATGGCCTCAATGTGCATCCATTTAGCTATAAATGTAAGGTGAATTTCTGACAAGTTCCAAGATACTTTTGATGTGGTTGTTCCAGTGTCCAGACTGTGAGGACCACTGCTTAGAGGGACATAATGTGTTGTGTTCTATCTTCTTATGGACCATTTTCCCACACATTTTGCCTTGACAGGCAGGGTTCAGGTCAGGGTTCATCTTTGCCAATAAGGCTGCCTGTAGTTTGGTCAGCACTCCTCATTACCATCCCCAGAGCATTCATAGCCCCCTCTCTGAGGTGCACCCTGCTGTCTTGGTTCAGGCTGCACTCTGTAGGTTCCTTGCACAGAGCAAGCCCTTCAGAAGGACTTCTGTAACCATTTGTAGAACTAACAGGAATATTCTGGAATGTTCCATGACTTGTAATTTTTAAGATAAACACTAATATTTATTTTGACTGCTGAAATATAAACTTGTACCCGCAAAAATTAAAGAAGATTAATTTACAAGAAAAGAAGCAATGCATAATGATTGTAATTGTAATGCTCACAATTTTTTCCATGAGTGGTCTCTTACAGCCCTTGAACATAGTAATTTTTCCACAGGCCCATGCTTTTTCAGCCCATGCTGTGTGATGTGGCACTCTTCCTCTTGTTTCACCTGGAGATTTCCTCTATAATTCGAGGCTAAAGTGAAATGTCTTCTTTTCACTGAAAGTTTCCTCTCTATGTCAGAATATCTCTCTGCAACCTGTTTCTGCCTTGGTAGCTCCTTGAGTACTTCTCTTTCATTACTCCTTCTTTCTTTTTAGTGATGGTGATTGAATTCAGGACCTTTTTACATTCTAAGCATGTGCTGTATCCCTAAGCAACACTCCCAGGCCATGTCATTCTTTTGAGTTGTCTTGCACTTGTGAGTTTACTTATTGGACCTCCCCACTGTGAGCTTTGCAAGGGAAGAATTGAGTCTTAATAGGCTATGATTGTTCATGTAAGATGCTTAGCATAGTACCAGTAATAATCAATGTTGATTTCCTTCTTTTTTTTTTGGTACTGGGGATCGAACTTGGGGCCTTGCACTTGCAAGGCAGGCGCCAGAACCACTGAGGTAAATCCCCGGCCCTTGATTTCCTTTCTTATTATTTGTATTTATCACACCTCCAAGTGTATAGAATACGGTGGGTACTTAATTCTTTGGTAAAGAGTGAATTAGAATTTAATGGTTATGGTAGTTGGCATAATAACTCAATTGTTGGATCTAGGCATGTTTAAATTTTTGTATTTTCCTTCTTTGTTCCTTTATCTTTTAAAATATCCAGTTTAGGTTTTTAAATAATCTTAAAAAATTTTTTTGTGTGTTTTCCTCCTTCAGAACATTGAAATGGCCATGTGTTTTATTCAATTAAAGGAATTAACATGATGGATTTTGTTTCAGGCGTGAGATAAAAGGTTTTGGAGTGAAAGTCAGCATAGTTGAACCTGGTTGCTTCAGAACTGGAAAAACAGACCCTCAGCGGTGCTTAGAGAGAATGAAGCAAGCCTGGGATGAAGCACCCATGCATATTAAGGAATCCTATGGACAGTATTATTTTGATGCTTGTAAGTTTTTTAATTTTTAACATAGGGAAAATGGGCCTGGTTGTATAAGAAGAGGAAGAGGAGGCTAATGAAAAATGATTTGCAAATACAGTGAGAACAAAGGTCCTTAAAAAACTTTTCCAGGACAAGAGATAGTCTGTAAGGTCCCAGTGTACTAATGGTTTGGCTCTCACTGTTGCTGAAAAGCACACGGACAACCCAGTGCCAGTATCATCCCTAACCTAATGTGTCACATATTGGCCTGACCCTCTGGACACTAGGGGTGTTCCAGGCTTCGAGGTATGGAGTCTCTTGTCCTAAGAGTAAGGCCTCTAGAGTGTCCATCAGAGCTGACATGAGATGTCTGCTTGACTAAAGTGCAGTCTTCAATGTGTCTACTATCTGGGTTACAAATTATGACAGGAGGGAGGGTGTAGGTGGGGAGAGGTAAGTGAGTAAACCTCCAGTTTGCAGGGCCCAATAGGCCAATGCTGGGGACTATACTTCTCATGTATAAGGTCACAGGACCTTATGGGAGTGAGATAATTTAATTTCATGTAAGAACATCATTCTGATGACCTGTAGGAATGGACAGTGTGGGTTGGAGGCAAAACTGTCCTTTTAATGGAATTAAGTCATTCACATTGCTGTGGGCCTGCATTCCCCTGGGTGAAGGGATGCTTTTCCTTTACACCAGAGCAGCAAATGGCTGAGGTTGAGGGGAGCAGCTCTCTGTTTCATTGCACAGAAGGCCCCTGTGGTCATAGCAGCAGCCCTGGGTCTGACTTTGGGAGAAAGTGCATGCAGTCCAGAGAAAAGGAGAAGGGGGAAGGTACACATAGAAGACTCCTGACCTAGACGATGTCTTTTGGTTATACTGGCCTAAGAGATCACCAGCACCAGAGGAGAGAGAAGTTGGATCAAGAAAAGGCTGACCAGAAAGTGCTGGAGCCTCTCAGAACTCATGCTAGTTAGGGAAGTGTTTCCCAACCTGCCAGAGGCTGGCTATTGTTATAAGCTCTTCCTCACCTCAGGTTCCCTCACTGCTAGGGAACTTGCTTCCCTCTGGATACACAGAATATTGAAATAGAAATCAGGAAACTAGAAAAGATCATATTCATCAATGGTGGGGTATATATATAAATTTATATATATGAGTATATATAAATTTGATGAATATATATATATAGTCCAGCTTATTTAGGCCCCAGGTTTGATCTCCAACACTAGGGAAAAAAAGAAGACAGAAAAATGTGAAATATTTTAATACTGCATTTATTTTATCTACTATATCCAAAATGGTGTTATATAAATACTATCAATATGTTATTCATTATTTTACATTTTCACATTAGTTTTTATAATTACTGTTTATTTTATACTAACATCATCTATCAAGTTGGATGCTAAATTTTCCTAGCAAGTATTACATCTGTACTAGTGATTTTTAATAAAATGTATAGTTGTCAACAGCATTATTCATACTAGACCCAAAGTGGATACAATTCAAACATTCATCAGCTGGTGAATAGATAAATCAAATGTGGTATGGCCATACAATGGAGCATTATTTGGTGATGAAAAGGAGTGAAGTACTGATATATACTATTAAAGGGATAAGCCTTGCAAAAGACCGCTCAATTTATATGAAATGTCCAGAGAGGAAAAATCCATGGAGACAAAAACTAGATTAGTGGTTGCCTTGGGTTGGTGGTTGATGAGACAATAGAATGACTACTAATAGGTAAGGGTTTTTTTTTAATGCGTTTTTTTGTGATGGGGATTAAAGCCAGGGCTGTGTACACGGAAGGCAAGTGGTCTATAACTGAGGTACATCCTCAGTTTCTTTTGGGGTTTGATGAAAATGTTCTAAAATGGGGTTTTGGTTGTAGCTATAGAACATGGAATATACAAAACAATCATTCCTTTGTACACATTAAATGGCTGGGTATTATGATGTATGAATTATAACTCAAGGAAAAAAATTTTCAGGAAGTTTCCGTTTGAAAAGTAGATTCATATACCTATTTTGGTACAAACATAGTTAAAGGTTTTTAAGTAAAGGAACTGAGCTTTAAAAGTAAGATTTATTGGGCCAGGAATTTAGCTCAGTGGTGCTGTGCCTGCCTCACAAGCTCAAGGTCCAGAATTCGACCCCCAGTACCAGGAAACATAAAAGTAAAATTTATTAAAATAAAACTGAAAATTTAATTTTGTTCACAGTAGTTATATTTTTAATGCTAAATAGCTACATGTGACTAGTAGTTATCACAGTGAGAAGTACAGGTCATGATCACCTTAATGCCTTTGGAATTTAATGGAGGGTAGACCTTTGACACCTCATGCAACAAGATCTTCAAACAATGTAAGGAGCTGGGCATCAGGGTGCATTTCTGTAATCTCAAGTCTTTAGATGGGTGAGGCAGGAGAGTGGCAAGTTCAAGCCCAGCCTTGGCAATTTAGGGACATAGCATATCTTGTCTCAAAAACAAAAACAAAAACAAAGCAAAAAGCCATAAATATGGCCAGGAATGTAGTTTGGTGCAAAGATCCTGAGGTTAATACCAACTACTGACCCAAAACAAAAACAAAACCCAAAGACTATATAAGGAATGTGATTTCTGACCTTATTTTCTCTTTTTGTGTACAGATTGCAACTCCAAAAAGGAAATGCTGCCGAATTATAGCACAAACCTATTCCTGGTCACTGACTGCATGGAACATGCTCTGACCTCTGTGCATCCACGTACTCGATATTCAGGTGGCTGGGATGCAAAATTTTTCTATATTCCTCTATCTTATTTACCCACATCACTGGCAGACTACATATTGACCAGATCTTGGCCCAAACCAGTCCAGGCAGCCTAAAGAAAACTCCTTTAGTGTCTCTTGGCATGAACAACATAAATATCTGAAATTGGTTGTTAGTGTCTCAGTAATCCTTACTCTGAACCCAGACTGTTTGTAACAATAAACATTCCTTTAAAACTCTTTTCTCTGGGGCCGGGGATTTAGCTCAGTGGTTCTGCCACCTGCTTCAAAAGCAGATGGTCTGGAGTTCAATCCCCAGTACCAAAAAAATAAACCCAAAAAACAAACCTCATTTATCTGGCATCATTAGAGAACCAACATATTCACATTGCAGATATCTAAAATTTACTACTTTTTGTGATGAATCTTTACTAATTTACAACATTTATTTTTGGAAAGAGTCTCACTGTGGTACACAGGCTGGCATTGAACTTATTATGTAGCCCAGGCTGCCTCGACTCACAGTGATCCTCCTGCCTCAGCCTCCTGAACGATGGCATTACAGGCATGGGCCACCACTCTCTTTCCATCATTTATGATGAAAATATGTCTAAAATATCTTTCTTATCCTGTTAAACTGAGCCTAGTAAAAACAATTTAGCCTGTTTTTATGTCAATTCTTTATCTATGTGAACAGTTCTTTTGTGTGTGATTAATTCTTGTTCAGGGATTATTGACAAATGTGTAGATCTATTTATTTTTATCTGAACAAGGTCTGTACTATGGCCCTTTAATAGAATTTTTATTTCTCTTTCCTTTTTGCCAGCTGTTATTCAATATATTTCTCCCTTATTTAAAACCGGTGACTTTTATTTTAAAATCCAAATAATTTACACATGCATAGCTAATACTCAATTAATAGTTAAAAGAATAAAAGAAATTCCTCATTTTCATTCTTACGGATCAGTGCTGCTAATTACTGGCAAATGCTTTAACATTTAGCCATTTTTTTTCTGGTGTTTAACCCTGAATTTTTGAATAAAACTCTCTATTCATGATTTACTAAGTTTAGATATTTTTACTGAATTTCTGTTATAGCAAATGAGAATTTATTAAGAGAATTTATTATTTATGCCACTTTCTTGCCCATTTCTTCTGTGCTCTTATTTTTAATATGATTTGACCATATTTCTAGCAAATTACTAGTGTTTCCATGGTTATGGAGGGAATATTGTTTACTGTTTAGTCATTTTTCTTTACAATATTTTTCTCCCCCTTGGGTAACTTACTGTGTTACTTTTGAGTTTGCAAAGGTTTTAAATTACCTTAATTTTTCCATCTGTTCTCTCAGATTGGCAAGAAAACTACCAGTACTATTTTCTTAGCAGCTAAATCAATCACAGAATTATTCATTGCATCTCAACTCCCTCCCTCCTGCCCAGGGAGACTCCTTCTCTGTTGTCCTTTTGCTGTCTGAGCTCTTTGCTCTCCAGTTCTGCTGCTCAGTTATTTCTCCCAAACTTCTCATCTCTCTTGCTGTTTGATCCTGTTTCCCAGAACGTGTGGCTCTTGGTTTTCTTTCCTTGCTTTTTATTTTTCTTTTTTAGACAAGTTCTCATATGTAACCCATGCTAGCGTTGAACTCACAGTGATTCTCCTGCCTCAGCCTCCCAAGTGCTGGGATTATTGGTGTGTGCCACCACACCCACCTTGGTTTTCTTTCTTACTTGGGCAGACCCCATTCTCGCTCTTTCCTAAATCTCTACAAGTCTGATAAGGGCTCTGTTCTCCTAATAGATTGGCTATATATGGAATTCTTGGGTGGAAAATCATTTTCAGAAACTTCCTCTTCTATTTTGTAAGATACATAAGTACCTTAACACCACTCTGATTCATGGTTCTTGTTGTTTGAGTTCTTTTTGCCCCCATTCTATGGAAACTTTACAATCTTCATTGCTTGTGTCCTAAATTTCTCCGGGATGGGGTAGAGGTAGATCTTTCATTCCCTTATGCTGAGTTCGCAGCACAAATCACAATGTAGGAGATCAGAGAACTGCTTCAATAGTGGCAAGCAGATGAGAGAGGATTTGGTGTAGTGTTCAAGTGGGAAGATTGGCTTTAGGGAGAAGCTTGACATAAATAAAAGTTTATTTTCTACAGTAATAAGATAGTACGTAGGTCATCCAGGTTGGTTTATAGCCTATGCACATCTTTTCCTCTAGTTTGTCACCTCAAGGTTTTGTTACGGTTGCTGCAGATTCAAACCTCACATCAATTCACTAGACATTTATAGGTAAGGAGAAGGGTGATAGTGCCTACATTTGTCCCCCCCCTTTTTTTGTGGTACTGGGGCCTGAACCAAGTAAGCACTGGGCTACTTTTCCAGTGCTTTTTATTTTCATCTTTTGAGACAGGGTTTTGCTAAGTTACCCTTGCTGGCCTCAAACTTTTGATCATCCTGCGTCAACTTGCAAATCAGAGGGGATTACAGACCTGAACCACTGGCTGCATTTGTCCTCTTGTGTGAGGAAAGCAAAAGGTTTTTCCAAATTCCCTATTGTATAGTTGTAGTTTTTCTATGTGCACTTGACTGTATATAGTCAATTATTGCTTCAATTGGTACACTTTTGACAGTGAAAAAGTGATTGCATTGGTGATTTACAAAGGGATAACAAGTATGAAGTAGTACTGTTCTAGGTAAATTAGTGCATCCAATTTTATTCAATTAGGCATGAAACATTTCTTTTACTATGTGTTTCATATTTTTAGAATGCCTATAGCAATACCATTGTGAAAAAGAAATCTACCAGTTGGAGTTCAGTATTTAGTTGTTGGTTTTAGATAAAATAAAAACTCAAAGTAGTTCTTTCAAAGAGCAGTTGTTTTCTTTACCTATTCTGTATACTTTTATTATTCATTTGAAATATAGTTTGGTTTCTTTTTTCCCTATTGTGAGTAATTTGACTTTTCCCCTGCATGATATTGATTTATTTTTTGAATATTTGAAACATTGTCACGATTCTACAGTCAAACCTAGATTTTTTTGTTTTTGTTTTTGTTCTGCTTTTTTGAGACATAGTCTTGCTGTGAAGTTCAGGTTGGCCTTGAACTCATGGCAATCCTCCTGCCTCACCCTCCCAAATGCTGGAATTACAGGCATGTGCCACCATGCCTGGAAAACCTAGATGATTTTGAAGCGAATATGGCATCATATTAGGAACTGTAGTTTTGCGAATGTTACCATTTGCAGCAACAAGAAGAAAAATATGTTATCTAGGAATAAACCTGTGCAATATTCATTTTGAAAACTGTAAAATTTCATTGGAAAACATTGAAGAAAGCATATATAAATATAAACAGATACAATATTCGTGAATAATGTTTCAATATAAAGTGATACATCATTTTCCCTCAAATAACTTATAAATTCAATGTGATTCCAGTCCATCAAAATTCCAACAGTTTTTTTGGAAATTGAGAAGCTGCTTTTTACATTTAATGGAAAAACAAGAGGAAAGAGGAATCAAGAAAATTTGGAAGTACAAGCTGAGGGAACCTGCATCTCCAGACATTAAGAGTTTATAGCCAGGTGCACTAGCAAATGCCTATAATCCCAGCTATTCCTGGAGCCGAGGCAGGAGGATGGCAAGTTTGAGACTAGTCTATGCACCTTTGTGAGACCCTGTCTCAGAGAGTAGGAGTGAAGAACTTACCGTACAATTTACTATTACTTTTTATTTTAAATGATATAATCAAATAGATGCAAAAGGATGACAAATAGATGTATAGAACAGAGTGAGGAGCTGAAATTTACATGAAAATTTGATGTAACAGGAAGCATAATGAGGTAGTGGGAAAATGATTCAATAAATAGGGCAGGGCAAAGTTTTTCTTATGCAGAATAATAACTTTGGATTCCTACCCTATACCATGCACAAAGGCAAATCCTAGTGGAACGAAAATCTAAATACGAAACACAAAAGTTAAAAAATCTTCAACATAATCCTTTGGAGATTGACCAGAGGTATATCGGAAATAGCATGTGAATTAATGTTTTTCTTAAGCTGAGTGTTAGGTTAATAAGTGTGAATGATACTTAATGTTGTGCATAAAATATTGTATGCCTCCAATGTTAATAAGAAAATGAAATGCAAAACATGTCATGGTCTGTGTAATCACAAACTATAGGAACTCAAAGAACACACCTACTAGTGCTCTGTGTAAACAATCAATAAACTTGTGGAATGTAAAACACCCATATATGCTGTATTTTTAGTGGTTATTGTTATTTATGTTCATATTTTAGTGGTTATTGTTGGGAATTTTCTTGTTCTCCAAAATTGTTATTTAAAAATTCATTTAAGAAAAGTCATTAAAAAGAAGAATTGTTTAGCCTGCCAGAAGACAAATGTGAAGTGTAAGATGTGGAGGGGTCACTAGCATTACCTAGTTGCTTAGTCCTTGGCAAAGACATAAAACAATAAAGATTGTAGTTAATTTTTCATCTCCAGGATTTTTTACCTAGTAGACATTTAATAAATATTGGCTGAATGAAGCAATTGCAGAAATTTAAAATTAGATGAAGTATAAAGGGTGCTTTTGGAAAGAGAGGTTCTTGATAAGTTGAAAATGTGGGAAAAATAATATAAATTACTGACCAGAGCTCAAAAGGATGAATTAGCTATCTATGCATGTCTATGAATTTATGCCTGTGACTGTACCATTTTGTAATACTGTTGGCCTCTGAATCATCATGTGTATCTGCAGGATCAAGTAAATAAAACCTTGATCTCTTTAATGAATTACAGGTAGCATTAACTTCTTATCTAAATTAAATGCTATATTTTAGATATAAAATTCAATAAAATATGGAGTAGCATACATAGTATAAAACAAACCCCTTTAAAAATAAACATGTCTATATAGATACTACTATATGTATGAGAGAAATAATCCCAATTGGTGAGTACTTCAGGGTTATAATTATGCTTTCCATGTGGTATTTTTGTAATGGTTGAATTTCCTACAACTTGTATTATGTTTATGATTGGGGGAAATTTTTATTGAGCACATTTCTGATAGCCAGAAAAGCCAGCTATTAATCAGTGTTATTCTTAGGGAGTAGAGAATGATAGGAAGATAACTGGGGAGAAAACTGCTCAAAGCCTCTGTAATCCTTCAAGGCCAGGTCAGAGCTTCTGCTACCTGTATAATTTATTATTTAAGAGAGACAGTGGATGGCTTTTGGGGAGTAGCTAACAAAAATCTGCTTTTTGACCTGGGTACTAATTATAAGAGGCTTTTCCTTATCATAAAACCATTTGTTTTGTGTGTTTTCTTTAATCTGTGTTTTATTGTACTATAAAAAAGATTTTAGATTTTTGGGGGGAGGGTACTGAGGATCAAACTCGGGTCCTTGCACTTGCGAGGCAGGCAATGAAATTTTAGATATTTTTAATGAAAGAACAACACTGTGCATACTGCCTTTCCCTAAACTTCTTATTTTGATAATTTTTAGTCAGAGAGAAAAATTGAAAGTGTTGTGTAGGGATTACCTATGTCCTCATCATATTGTTTTACAGCTTGTTTTTGGGTTCAGTAATATTTAGCAAAGATCTTTTCTGTGTGGTTACATATAGAAGATTCTGTTTTGAGTGATGCACAGCATTCCTTTGTATAGTTATAAAACTTTATTTAATCAGTTTCCTGTTGTTGGATATTTAACTTGCTTTTCATACCCCCGCACCCCCAGTATAAAGCATGGTGTGCTGTGAATGAACAGTTAGTAGTAGAGGCTAAAGATGCAGCCTGCATTGACCAAAACAGCCCTGTGTAGGGCCAAAGAGTTAGCTCAGTGGTGCTGCCGCCTGCCTTGCAAGTTCAAGGTCCTGAGTTTGATCCCTGGTGACCCCCCAAAAAACCAAAAACCAAAAAACCCCAAACAACCCTGTGTAACCTGTGGAGAACATAAATCTAAAAAAAAAAATGTTGACTTCCCATAGTAAGATCTTCACATAAATCATCTCCCTCCTGGCTCAACTCAGGTTTAATCCCAACAGCTCTTCTTCTTTTTTTTCCCCCATTAAGTTTATTGGTACATTTTAGGTATAAAATACAGTTACATTCATCATTGGGATCTTGTACCATTACTTGAGTATCATGGTTCTTATATTTTTTCCCCTTCCCCTGCCCTCCCTTCACCCCCTCCACCCTTCCCTATTTGCAAAGACTTTGTT